AAAATCCATTATATAACTTATACGATACGTGCATTTGTGTGTAGGTATACCAACCAACAATAGAACACCAAAAATAACACGAACTATAATATTTGACTGGTGCAGGTATTTTAAAGCAAGTAATTTTCGAATGGATCCAATATTTATTGAAAGTTTTTGAATGCCATGTGTAATAAACACTCTCTAGGTGTATTACAAATCATGTGAAGAATCTATTGAGGTTTAGATAAATTTCAAAAACTGCACAACTAAATATTTAGTAAACTTTGTCAAAACATAGTAGTAGTTGATTAGTACATATAAATTGTTTTCAAAGCTTGTATGATTACATATAATGATATATAGTATACATTTGAAAAATCACGTACTTATCAAACAAATAATGGGCAAGTTTTATTATTTTTCAATGTTAATGTTATATATATTTATTTACTTCATATTACTAAGCTTTTTTAGATAAGGAATAATCGGTTAAATATTTTTGAACACCAAAAGTTTTCATCCATATTATCTTCTCCACCATTTTATTTATCTTTACTGTACCCTTATTTCAGACCTTCTGCACTCTCCCTCCCTGCGGATGCCATCACTGAAACTCGTCACGCGCGCACACACACACACCATAGAGAGTCACGTATGCACGTGCACATGCAAAATCACACTCATGCACTATAGTCGTTTGCAAAATTAGATTTACGTACTTTTGGGAGAGATGATTGCATATCGGTAAGTACTCCATGGTAGATGACCATTCACTATGATCCATAACTAATCTCTCAACAAACTCTATAACTAAACTCTACGTGTAATATTTAGTCTCAGTGGGAAAGCCAGTCTAGTGCCAAGGAGGGCCATGGCACCCCTCAAATTTTACCTTTTTACTACTATATATATATATATATATATATATATATATATATATATATATATATATATATATATATATATATATATATATATATATATATATATATATATATATATATATATATATATATATATATATATATATATATATATATATATATATATATATATATATATATATATATATATATATATATATATATATATATATATATATATATATATATATATATATATATATATATATATATATATATATATATATATATATATATATATATATATATATATATATATATATATATATATATATATATATATATATATATATATATATATATATATATATATATATATATATATATATATATATATATATATATATATATATATATATATATATATATATATATATATATATATATATATATATATATATATATATATATATATATATATATATATATATATATATATATATATATATATATATATATATATATATATATATATATATATATATAT